ACGCACTCACCCGCGCGCATCAATACCACGCAACACCGCACGCACGCACGGACTCACGCACGCACGCACGCACCACGGACAGCACACGCACACTAAACAACTACGCGCTACAAGGCACACGTACACGCACACGTACACGCACACGCACACGCACACGCACACGCACACGCACACGCACACGCACACGCACACGCACACGCATACGCACACGCACACGCACACGCACACGCACACGCACACGCACACGCACACGCACACGCACACGCACACGCACACGCACACGCACACGCACACGCACACGCACACGCACACGCACACGCACACGCACACGCACTCGCACACGCACTCGCACGCGCACGCGCACACGCACGCGCACGCGCACGCGCACACGCACAGCACAGCGCTGGGTTCACTCACATGCACAGATCGCCACGCACACGCCAACACACACAAGCACGCACACGCACACGCACACGCACACGCACACGCACACGCACACGCACACGCACACACACACACGCACACCCACACACGCACGCACACGCACACGCACGCGCACGCGCACACGCACACGCACACGCACACACACAGACACACACACACACACACACCCAGACACGCACAAACCCACACACGCACACACACAAATACACGCAAACACACACACACCACACACGGAAAGACACAAGAACACGCACAAAAACACACACCAACACACGCACACAAAAACGCACACAAACAAGCACACACACAAACACACAAAAACACACACAAACACACGCAACCACACACAAACACACACAACCACTCACAAACACACACAAATACACACACAAACACACACAAGCACACACACACAAACACGCACAAACACACACACACACATATCCAAGCACACACACAAACACACAAATAACACCACACAACGAAACACACACAACCACACACAAAAACACACACAAACACACACAAACACACAAAAAAACAGACACAACACACACAAACACACAAAAACACAAACACACGAAACGACACAACACCACACGCACACACACAAAACCACACAAACACACATACACACCAAAACACACACACAACACCACGCACAGAAAACCACACACCCACACAAAACACACACCCACAAACCACACGCACACACAAACACACATACACATAACAACACACACACACAAGAACACACACACACACAAAACACACACACACAAAACCACAAGGAAAAACACACGCACAACAAAACAAACACACACAACCACACACGCACACAACATACACTCAACACACAAACGCACGCACACAAACACACACACACAAACACACACGCACAAACCACATACACAAGAACCCACACACACAAAAACACACAAAACGCACACACACACAAGAACACACACAAGCACACCACAAGCAACCACAAAGCACACACACACAAAAACACACAAGCACACACAAAAAACAAAACACACACAAAAATACACACACAAAACACACACAAACACACACACGAACACACACAAGCACACAAACACAAACACACAAAACCACACACACAAAACAAGACACACACAAACACACAAGCACACACAAGCACACACAATAATGCCCACACAGAGACGCACACAAACGAGCGCACACACACACGAACGCACACACACACGAACGTATACACACGAACGCACACGCGAACGCACACACACGAACGCGCACGCACGAACGCGCACACACGAACGCATACACACGAACGAACACACACGAACGCACACACACGAACGCACACGCACGATCGCACACACACGAACGCACACACACGAACGCACACACACGAACGCACACAGACGTTTGCACACACACGAGCGCACACACAGGAGCGCACACACACGAACGCACACACACAGACACACACACACAACACACACAACACACAAACACAAACACACAAACACACAGCCACACACAGGAACACAAACACACAAACACACAAAAACACACAAACACATAAACACAAACACACAAACACACAAACACACAGAGACACAACCACACAAACACGCAACCGCACACCCACAAACACACACAAAGACACAACCACAGAAACACACAAGCACACACACGCAAACACACAAACACACAGCCACACAAACACACAACCAAAGAACCACGCAAACACGGAACCACACAAACACACACACCCAACAACACACAAGCACAATCACACAAACACGCACAAACACAACCACACAAGCATAATCACACAAACACAAACACACAAACACACACACAAACACATAAACAGACACAAACACACAGTCGCAGACACACAAGCACAAACACAACCACACAAACACAAACACACAAACACACAAACACACAAACATAGAATTACAAACACACAAACACAAACACACAAACACACAAACAAACACAACACACACAGACACACACACACAGCACACACAAACACACGCACACACGCACCCACACACACAAACACACAAACACACAAACACAGAAACACAAGCACACAAACAGACACCCACACAAACACACAAACACAAACACACAAACACAAACACATCAACACACGCACACAAACACAAACACACAAACACAAACACACAAACACAAACACCCAAGCACAAACACACACAAACACCATAACACAAAGACACAACCACAAACCAACACAACCACAATTCAACATAACCACACAGTACACAAACACACAAGACCACACCACCAACACACATACACGAACACACACAAGCACACCACAAGCAACCACAAAACACACACAAAAACACACAAGCACACACACAAGCACACACACAAAACACAAACACACACAAAAACACACACAAAACACACACACGAACACACACAAGCACACAAACACAAACACACAAAACCACACACACAAAACAACACACACAAACACACACACACGCACACACAAGCACACACACAATAATGCACACACAGAAACGCACACACACGAGCGCACACACACGAACGCACACACACACACGAACGTGCACACACGAACGCACACGCGAACGCACACACACGAACGCGCACGCACGAACGCACACACACGAACGCACACACACACACACACGAACGCACACACACGAACGCACACACACGAACGCACACGCACGATCGCACACACACGAACGCACACACACGAACGCACACACACACGAACGCACACAGACGTTTGCACACACACGAGCGCACACACACGAACGCACACACAGGACCGCACACACACGAACGCACACGCACAGACACACACACAACACACACAACACACACAACACACAAACACAAACACACACACACAAACACCAACACTCAAACACACGAACACACAAACACACAGCCACACACAGGAACACAAACACCCAAACACACAACCACACACACAAACACATAAACACACACAAACACACAAACACACAGGGACACAACCACACAAACACGCAACCGCACACCCACAAACACACACACAAAGACACAACCACATAATCACACAAGCACACACACGCAAACACACAAACACACAAGCACGCAACCACACAAGCACACAACCAAACAACCACGCAAACACACAACCACACAAACACACAAACCTAACAACACACAAACAGACACACACAAACACACACAAACACAACCACACAAGCACAAACACACAAACACAAACACGCAAACACACACAAACACACATAAACAAACACAAACACACAAGCACACACACAAACACAAACACACAAACAGAAACACGCAAACACACACACAAACACAGAACGACAAACACACAAACACAAACACACAAATACACAAACAAATACAAAACACACAGACACACAAACACACCACACACACACAAACACAATCACACAACCACACGCGCACAAACACACGCACACACGCACCCACACACAAACAAACACAAACACACAAACACAGAAACACAAGCGCACAAACAAACACCCACACAAACACACAAACACAAACACACAAACACAAACACATCAACACAAGCACACACACAAACACAACCACAAACACACAACCGCAAGCACACAATCACAACCACACAAACACACCCACACAAACACAAAGACACAAACACAAACCAACACAACCACAATTCAACATAACCACATACTACACACATACACAAATACAAACACAACGACACAAACACAACACACACAACTACAAACACAACACGCAACCACACAAACACAAACACACACACACAAACACACAAACACAACGACACAACCACGGACACACAAACACAAACACAAAACAGCCACGCAAACACAAACACACAAACAAAAGCACACAGACAACCAGACACTCACAACCATCCAAACAAACAAACACACACACACACGCGCGCGCGCTCGCTCACACGCACACACGCACACACGCACACACGCACACACGCACACACACGCACACACGCACACACGCACACACGCACACACGCATACGCGCACACACGCACACACGCACACACGCACACTCGCACACTCGCACACTCGCACACTCGCACACTCGCACACACGCGCACACGCACACACTCGCACACGCGCGCACACACACACGCACACACGCAAACACGCACACACGCACACACGCACACACGCACACAAGCACACACACACACACGCACACACGCACACACGCACACACGCACACACGCACACATGCACACACGCACATTCGCACACGCACACTCGCACGCTCGCACATTCGCACACTCGCACACTCGCACACTCGCACACTCGCACACACGCACACGCACACACGCACACACGCAAACACGCACATTCGCACACACACAGGTACACACAACCACACACCACACACATACGCACATACATACACACATTTGTGGCATCGCGGCCCCGCGCGCGGGGACGGGGCGTAGAAGACACGCACACACAAACACGCACTGAGCCGAGGCGCCGTCGTCCGCATCGGGAGCGAGGACTGGTGCGGCGCTGGCGGGGAGCTGCTGAACTGGGCGGCCAACCACCGCAGGGACCTCGCCTCTGCGCGGTTCTCTCGCCAAGGTGCCTGGCGGCGTGCGGCGTCGGCTGCGGCGTCGGGCCATGCGTCGGCGAGGGAGGCGAGGGGAGGGGAGGGAAGGGGGGAGAGTGGGGGAGGACTGGGGGGCGTGGGGACAAGGGGCAGAGGGAGCTAGGAGGCGGAGAAAGAAGAATAAGAAGACGAAGAAGAATAATAAGGAGGATCGTGAGGAGGAGGAGGAGGAAGGGAGGGGAGGGATGATGGAGGATAGAGGGGGGAGGGACCATGTACCGTGCCGTCCAGGAGTTCGCCCGTGATGCATCGTGGCGGCTCCGTGCGTTGATCCGGTCAAGCAAGTTCTGCACCGCCGGGCTCTTCAGATCGTTCAAATGTCATGTCGTATCCTTTGTTGACTGCGCCGACCCGGCAATTTTCAAGCAATTGATGCAGTCGTAGCTCCGTCAGAGAGCCTGCAGGAATAATGTATGCAGTCAGTTAGGGCTTTCGAAGACCAGGCCCTTCGCGAGCATAATCTCGCCCCAGCATGCAAGATGCGACTGGTCGATGTTAGGCCTATTGCACACCGTTGCCAACCGCACCTCCTGTTCTCTGCGTCCTCTTCTCGCCCATGACGGAGAACCTCGAAAGCCTAGTTTCTGGTGGGGGGGCGCATGCACAAGAAGGCACTCCGACGAGACAGTACCGCTTCAGCGTCGGCCAGCGTCGACTAGCGTCGGTTAGCGTCTGGGCGTCGATGAGGTAGCGCCGATATTCAGCGCCGATTCAGCGTCGCCTAGCGTCGATGAGCGTCGATTCAGCGTCGACGAGCGCCCAGTCGCAGGAGCCGGCAGGATGGCACCGGAGGCTCCCGTGCGCTGCCACCGAGCGCGGGTGGTGGCCGCGCTTGTGCGCCCTGTCACGCCGCGCTGTTGCCCACACCGCGTGGGGCCCAGCGAGATCTCCACACGTCCGCTCTGCATGCGGACAGACCGCGGGCCGGGGAAGCCGGTTATCGAAGAAGAGAAATCGTCGGGAGCCCTGAGGCAGGGGTCAATGCAAACGGGGGACAGCCAGAGCGCCCGATCTTGCAGGATCCCGCAGGGCCAGGGTCGCACTGACCCGGGTTTGGGTGCAGGATCCTGCGGGATCTTGCAGTATCCTTCGCATTGACTCGGGCTTGGGTGCAGGATTTTGCAGGATTCTGCAAGGCCTGACTGACCCAGGTCTGGATTGACCCGTGTCAGAAGATCCCCGAAACCTGCGGCGAGAGGGGGTGGGAAGCGAGCAGGAGAAGGCCTTATCAGAAGGCTGGGAAGCCCCCCGGGCCTCCTGAGAAGTTCCCTAAGCCTTCCTGGGCCTTTCCCGAAGACACGGGGAACCTCAGAAGGCGCGAGGGCTGATGAGAAGTCCCGCCGCCTTCTGAGAAGGCCTTCTCCTGCTGGTTTTGAAGAAGAAACAGCTGCACGAACAAATTGTCCACGGTGCGCACGGATGTCCTTGGATATGCGGCGGACGCCCCCCTGGCGCGCGGTGCGCGCCATGGGGGGCCAGCGGACCTTCTAAAGCTTATGCCTATGCCGTTTTTCTTCTTCCAGGTTAGTGGTTGGGCCCCGAAGCCCAAAAGATGAACCAGAATCACTATACCAGGTCTGTTGTGCGTAGTGGAATGTGGCGTCGGCAGCGAAGGCGCGCCGGTTGCCACGCAAAGCATCCAGATAGGTAACCGTTCTGTCCACCCCTCCCACACTATGCAATATGCAGATTGTTGCTCCACCTGGTGGTGTTCCACCTGTGGCCGTCGGTCCAAGGCTACAGATCGTGGGAGTGTCAAGGGTTGGTTATTCCAGTGTAAGCCCCCGACCAAGAGCGGGGTATGTGTAATCAACTGCTTGTGCAAAGGCAAGCCAGTGCCACACTAGGGGCCGCCTCGCTCCCGAGCCCCGAGATGGCGCAGCCAATAAGCGTTACTCGACATCGTCGTCGCCGAAGCTCCTTCGAAGCTCCTCCTCCTCCTCCTCCTCCTCCTCCTCCTCCTCCTCCTCTTCCTCCTGCCCCTCCTCCTCCTCCTCCTCCCCCCTCCCCCTCCCATCCCCTCCTCCTCCTCCTCCTCCTCCTCCCTCCTCCTCCTCCTCCTCCTCCTCCTCCTCCTCCTCCCTCCTCCTCTCCTCCTCCTCCTCCTCCTCCTCCTCCTCCTCCTCCTCCTCCTCCTCCCTCTCCTGCCTGGCTTCGCGACAGGGCCCTGGCCGCTCGGGGGACGCTCGGAGGACGCCCGGCGGTCCACCTCCCCCGGCCCCAAGCCAGACCGACCCTGGGCCCAGGGTTGGGTCGGGCATGTCCCCCTACAGGCGGATGTTGGCGAGAGATGAAGACAGTACAGAGGATGATCCTGGCGAAGTACCCGACCATCTGCAGTTGTGGGAGCCGCCCCCCTGCAGGCGGATGTTGGCGAGAGATCAAAAAGATACTCAAGAGTATCCTGGCGAAGTGCCCAACCATATGCAGCTGTGGGAGCCGCAATTGTGGGTCGGGGCGCCTGGTCGTGGCCGTGGCCCGCGGTGGCCGAGAGAGCCCCTTCGTTCCTTGCTCGGCGTTCCTGACGGTGCGGCGGGGGCGCTCTGCGAGGAATGCGCCCAGCAGCCCTCGGACCCTGGAGGGCTCCTCAGCTGCTGAGGGCGGCAGCGATATCCGCGGCGCACCCGCGACCGGAGGAGCTCCACCGGCCTCCAGACCCTGGGCTCCTCGCCCAAGGGTTCTGTCTATCCCGTGCCCTCACCGGAGCACGACGACTGCACTAAGCGGTGGCGCGTCCACGACCGGAGCTCCACCGGCCTCCAGACCCTGGGCTCCTCGCCCAAGGGCTCTGCCAATCCCGTGCCCCCACCGAGGCACGGCGACTGCACTCAGCGGTGGCGCGGCTCCCCGGCAAGCACGCCATGGTGGCAGGTGCCCCGCGGCCCGAGCGCGGGCGGGCCGCTGTGCAAGAGGGCCGCGGGGCCTCTCACGGCCCTTCCCGCGCCATGCGGGAGGAGAGCCATCCTCGCGGAGGCCCATGGGGCCGTCTCGGCAGGCCCCCGCCCCCCGAGGGACGCCCCTCCGCCTCATGTCTCGGGATAGGCCGCCCCCCTCACGTCCCCTCGTCGTCGACAGGGGGGGGAGGGGGAGGAGGAGGGGGAGGAGGAGGGGGAGGAGGAGGAGGAGGAGGAGGAGGAGGAGGAGGAGGAGGACGACGATGAGGAGGAGGAGGAGGCGAGGAGGAGGAGGAGGAGGAGGAGGCCCCCCTCCCAGACCCTCGACGCCATGAGTTGTTCATGACGCGGACCCCCCAGCGGTCTGGACCCATCCCCCGGGACCGGTTTTCCATCCCGAGTCGTTTGCTGACGGTCCCGAGGTCGACTACACGCAAGAGTGGCCTTTCGCCGGAGTGACCTTCGGAGCGCGCTCACTGGGGCTCACCGATCGCCAAGTGCGGTGCGATAGCAGCGTGCTGCGCGCTTTAGTTGGGCCCCCCCGCGGCCCCCCAAAAGCCGCGCACCAATGGTCACTCTTACCCAGGGTCACTCCTACGTGTAGCCGACGAGGGCCAGTGGGGGGGGGGGAGCCGCAGAGGCAGAAAAATAACGAGAAACTCCCCGTCGTGACTGCTTCGTAGCGCGAGGGGGTCTGGGCCCCTGAACGACCCCCCCCCCCCCCCCTCCGTGGGCGCCGCCGGCCCCGGCGAAGAGAGGCCAGCGTCTTCGTCGGTCTTCGTGCCCCCTCTTCCTCCTCCTCCTCCTCATCATCTTCCTCGTCGTCGTAGTCCTCCTCCTCCTCCTCCTCCTCCTCCTCCTCCTCCTCCTCCTCTTCCTCCTCCTCCTCCTCCTCCTCCTTTTCCTTCTCCTCCCCCTCCTCCTCCTCCTCGTCCTCCTCCTCCTCCTCTTTCTCCTAGTCGTACTCTGCCTCGTCCTCTTTCTCGTCCTCCTCCTTCTTTTCCTTCTCCTCCTCCTCTTTGTCCTCGCCTGCCGACCCCGCCCCGTACGCCCGGGCCTCCCAGGTGGGGTCCAGGAAGTCGATGATTGGAGGCTCGCGCCACATCGCCGATGTCTCGGCGATGCGGATCGATGTGGGGCACGACTGGCTCCACGCTAACGGCGCCGATGCATCGCCGAGGCATCGCCGAGGGCATCGGCAAGGCGTCGGCGAGGCGTCGGCGATGCGGCGCGATCCTCCGACCCCATTTGGGAGGCCTCTGGCGTTGCGCCTCCCTTCCAGAATGGGGTGGGGGGTGGCTGGCCTCCCAGGGCGGGGAGGAGGAGGAAAAGGAGGAGGACGAGGAGGAGCACGAGTAGGAGGACGAGGAGCACGACGAGGAGAAAGAGGAGCACGACGAGGAGAAAGAGGAGGAGGAGAAAGAGGAGGAGGAGGAGCAGGAGGAGGAGGAGAAGCAGGAGGAGCAGGAGGAGGAAGACGAGGGGGACGAAGACCCGCACCTTCGACCTCGACTCCCGGGCGCGAGCGAGGACGGCTGCGTCGTCGTCTTCGCCGCGGTCGACGGGAGGGCCGTGGCCGCCGTGGCCCTGCGCGACGAGGCCTCTTGCCGTCCGCGCTGCGGTTGGTTTGTGTCGTGCTTTCTCGTGCGATTCTTGCTCTTGGTCGGGCCTGTCCCTCTACAGGAGGAATATTCAAAAATAGTAAAAATAGTCCGGGGACGATTTGGCGATGTGTTCAAATCTGTTGAGCATTCTTTGGCTACTGTTTAATATTTCTCCCATAATCCGCCTGCGGGGGGGGCATGCCCGACCTTGATTCTTGCTCTGTTCCCTAAGAGGTGCTTGCACTTTGGGCCGTCGGTCTGGCGGCTGTGCTGTCGCCGTCGCCGCACAGTCGCCGCCTCGTCCCCGTCCGTCGTTTGGGCCTGACGGTCGATCTGCCGGCTATCCATGTTGTCGCCGTCGCCGCCCCGTCGCCGCCCCGTCGCCGCCCCGTCGCCGCCCGTCGTCTGGGGCTGGCTTCCTGTATGGCGGCTGCGTCGTCGACGTCGCCGCCCCGTCGCCGCGTCGTCGCCGCCCGTCGTCTGGGCCTGACCGTCGGTGTGGCGGCTTTGTTGCCGACGTGGACGCCCGCCGCCGACTCGCGTGGATTGCATCGCATAGGCTGCACCGCAGATGTTCTCTTTGCTAAAGAGTAGCTCGGGTCTTCCCCCCCCCTGGCTTATTGCATCGGTTTCTCATTGAACAGTACGATCTACACATGATTTTGCCCCATCGCTCATTCTCATTCTTGAAATCATACCATCCCAGGGGGACCCCGCTTCGACACCCGCCTCATCGGTGTCCAACAGTGATATGCGCGCACAGTCGTTCAATCATCAGTGTTCAGAAATCCCTTTCAAACAAAAACGTAGCAAAGTCCGCGCGCGCGTCGGCGAGCTCGCATGCCGAAATTAGTTCAACATCTCAGTGCCCGTAAGCACTTCAGGATCGAGTGTCTGGAACACACGTATGATAAAACAGTTGTTTGACAACCTGATGGTTCAAAACTGTCTGTGCGCGCGCTCTTGCGAATAATGGCGAAACAAATGCGTCCCCACTTTTTATCATAAGCAAGCGAGCGGGACTTGCGCGCGCATGCAAAAGTCATTATAAAGCCGTTGCGCGCTTCCTGGGTCGGCACGACCCTTGTCAAATAATACCATGCGGGCCACTGGCGCGCGTCGGCCGCGCGCGCATGTCGAAATCCTCCCAAACGAAACCCATCATCACCAGCTCGCGGACACCATCATCGTCATCGGCGTGACCAGCATCGGCGCCGTCATTGGCCTTGCCACCGTCACCAGCGTCATTGTCACCATTATCGCGTTTGCCGTTGTCGATGTCGCCATGAAGCCGCGCCCGCTCGAGTCCCGACTCGCATTGAAGTGCCCGCGCGCCAGCGCGGTGTGCGAGACGCGTCGGGATGTCCCCGGCAGTCAGCGCCACCGCGGCCGCGTTGGTCGCAACAGGATAGCTGGCCGATCTGCACGCGAGCTTGCGCGCGCTAGCGCGACCGCAGCGATGCACCAGCCAGCGCCGAGCAGTCATCGCAATCGCCGCCGCGTGGGTTTTGCGAACCAAGTTGCGGGTGGGTGGGCGGGGTGGTGGCACGGGCAGCGGAGTTGAAGGTTGCACTACGTAGACCCAGTCACATACAGTGCACAACCTAGAATGCGTGATTCTTAGCGTGCCACATCGATTGGACCGCACTTTTTTACATTACCTCGACCGCGCCACATATGGTGCTCCATATGTGCTGCGCCACATAGATTGCTCTACCCAGATCGCACCGACTCGTACTGAACTGCCCGCGCGCCAGCACGGCCTGTGAGACGTGCTGGAGAGTCCCCAGCGGTCAGCGCCACCGCGGCCGCGTCGGTCGCGCCAGCGTAGCTCGCGGCTCTGCGCGCGAGATTGCGCGCGTTAGCGCGGCCGCAGCGATGCGCTAGCCAACGCCAAGAACTGACCGCAATCGCCGCCGCGAGGGTGTTGTAAATAACATTCTAGACGCTTCGCGTATCCCCACCAGCTGTCGCTGCTGCCTGCCGCCTGACCGCGGCTTCGCGCGCGCCCGCCGCTAGTCGCGGCCGCAGCCCGACCGCGACCGCCCGCCGCCGGCGCTTCCGCCTGCGGCTGTAAAAAAAAAGTATCCCCACCAGCCCATCCAGAAACGATGTCCAAGCGAGGTGAGGTGAGCAGGGAAGTGCGGGAGCAAAGAGGGGGACGGCCGAACCGTTCGAAGGAGGGAGGAGGAGAAGAAGGAGGCTGGATGGATGGATGGATGGATGGATCGATGAGGGAGTGGGGAGAAGGAGGATGAACAGGAGGAGGAGGAGGAGGAGGAGGAGGAGGAGGAGGAGGAGGAGAAGGAAGAGGAAGGAGGACCAGGAGGAGGAGGGCAAGCAGAAGGGCCAGAGGTCTCTTGGATGCCTCTCGGAGCCTCTTGGGGTATCTGTTGGGCACTTCTTGGTGGCTTCTTGGGACGTCTTGGGGGCCTCTCGGCGGTCCTGGGGGGTTCTTGAGCGTCTTGGGTGCCTCGGGGGGGGCTCTTGGGACCGCTTGGGGTCCTCTTGGGGGCCTCCTGGGGGCCTTTCGGGGGCCATCTTGGGCCATCTTGGTCGCCCCCCCAAGAGGCCCCAATGGGGCCCAAGACCTTGCAAAACCAATGATTTTGGCTTCCTCGCCGAGGCCGTTTTGGACACCCTGACCGCTCCCGACCGGCTTCGTCCAGGTCCAGGGGGGGGGGGTAGGGGGGACGGGTGAACCCCTCCCCGAAGGGGAAGAAGGGGGGTGGAAGATGAAACTCCCGAAATCACCTATGCCCAGAGGGCTGGTGGGATTGCCGATGGCTGGGTGGGATGACCGTGCGAGCAGTGGAGTTGAACACTTCAAGCTCGGCAGAGCGAGTTGCACCGCATAGATTGCACCACACTTATTGCTCCACGTCGATTGCACAGTTTAGATTTATGAAACACGCAATTGGGTTCCGCGGTAGCCAAGAAAGTTATAATTTGAAAGACGTGTGTTGTTTCTCGTGCTCTCTTTTTGTTTCCCCCTCTCTCTCTCGTTCTCTTTTTTGTCTCCCTCTCTCTCTCTCTCGCTCTCACTCTCGCTCATTCTCTCTCTCTCTCTCTCTCTTTCTCGTGATATGTTCTGGCCCTGGCGTGTTTTTTCTCTGGTTGCGCGGCCTCGGGGAGATTATTGCCAGGTTCCAGGACGAGAACCCCCCCGGGGCAAGGTCGAGAACCTCGGGGCCCGCGGACCGAAAGAAATATTACATCGTCGGGTTTATAGGTTCCCCCCTCCTGCCTCGATCCTGCTTCTCTCTTTCGTTCTGTATCCCTCCATCCTCCTGCCCATCTCCCGCCCCCCCTCCTGTCTCGTCGTTTCTCCCTCCTTTCCCCCTGCTGTCCTTCCCTCTTTTCCCCGTCTCCTCCTCCTCCTCAGCCTCCTCCTTCCCCTCCTCCTCCTCTCCCTCCTCCTCCTCCTCTCCCTCCTCCTCCTCCTCTCCCTCCTCCTCCTCCTTTTTTTTTGTTCCTCCTCCTCCTCCTCCTCCTCTTCCTTCTCCTGCTCGTCCTCCTGCTCGTCCTCCTCCTCCTCCTTTTCTCCTTTTTCTCCTCCTCCTCCGCCTCCTCCTCCTTCTCCTCTCCTCCTCCTCTCCCTCCTGCTCCCCCTCCCCTTCCTCCTCCTCCGCCTCCTCCTCCTCCTCCTGCTCGTCCTCCTGCTCGTCCTCCTCCTCCTCCTCCTTTTCTCCTTTTCTCCTCTCCCTCCTCCTCCTCTCCTCCTCCTTTCCCTCCTCCTCCTCCTCCTCCTCCTGCTCGTCCTCCTGCTCGTCCTCTTCCTCCTCCTCCTCCTCCTCCTCCTCCTCCTCCTCCTTCTCCTCCTCCTCCCTGGCACCATCGCGGCTGCACTTTGGGATCCAGTATGTATTCGTCGTGTTTGTCGTCCCTCCTTTTCCCCCCCTTCCCCTAAATAGTTCAAACAAATAGTTTGGGGACGACTTTTGGAGCATTTTTTCGTGGGTATTTTCAAGTTTTCGTCCAGAATCCGCCTGTAGGGGAACGCGCCCGACCTACCCAGACCTCCAACGCATTGAAAAAATCAAGACGGAGGGTTTTTCTCGATTTTCGGCCTCTAGCGGCCCTCGCCGGGCCCCAGGACCGTCAAAAAACGACTCGGGATGAGAAACCGGTCCGTGGATATGGGTCGAGACTTCCGGGGACCCCGTATTGAAAAAACACGATATCGGATCTCTGGGTAAGGCGAAGCCTGCTGAGCTGCTGCTCTGGCGGCCCCGGCGACGCTCGCGGCAGCCGCCGCGGCTCCGCGCTCCCGCCCGCCCTGTGGGCGCCGCCCCGGCGGAGGCACGGCGGTCCAGCGCGGCGCGCGCCGAGCGCCGAGCGCCACCGGGGGCGGACGCGCAGGCGCAGACCGCGGCGGCATGCCTCGACCAGCAGCGGCGGCGGCAGCCCCGAGCACAAATCACGACGGAGGATTTTGCGCTGCCTTCGGACCCGGGAGGCCCTTGCCGGCCCTCGCGAGGACCGTGAAAAAAAAGCCGGTCCCGGGGAACGGGTCCAGACCGCTGGGGGTCGCCGCCATGAAAAAATTATGGCGGGGGTGGTCTGGAGTGGGGTGGAGGCCGCGGCCCGCGATGCGGAGCAGGCGGCGGCGCCGGAGCAGGCCCTCTTGCTGGAGCGGCTGCGGCGTGCAGCCCCCCAGCGGCTGGCGGCGGCAGCGCGGGCCGAGCGCCTGAACCAGGCCGTGGCCGAGCGCTCTGGCTCAGCAGGGGCGGAGGCCACAGCAGCGACACAGGGCAGCGACCTGGAGCAGGGCGCGGAGGAGGCCAAGGCGGACATCCGCAACGCCGACGCTGGGAGTTTCCAGCCACTTGGAGGGCCGCTCGCGGCTTGGCACGCGGCCCTGCGAACCGCCCCGCCAACACCAGCCTTTGCTGCAAGGCTAGGGCCACCGAGCGGGAGGCCGCGGAGCCCGCCGGTTTGGCAGCGGAGAAACGAAGGCGCCGAAGCCGAGACGGCGGAGAGCACTGCAGGACG